TTCCATTAAATATCTATGAGAGCAAGTAAAACAGGAAATCCAGGGAGAACAAGCCAACAGTGTACTAGCCAGTGTACTAGCTCGTTTTTACTCAAACAAGCCACCTATGCGAAACAAGAAATACGGTTACCATATGAACGTCAAAGAATCGCGCGAGTATAGGCGAACATTTGTGTTAAATAACTGTTGACATCACATATGTAAAGACTACATTAACATATGTGACCTTCCACGGGAAAACATACGTTTACGCTATTTCGTTCGTTCAAAAATATCGTTCGTTATCCGTTCGTTTGCCGTTCAAACGCTTCAAGCGTTCGTTGAAATGATTTTCGAGATCGTTCATCGTTCGAAATTGCCCGTTCGAACGCTTAGGAAAAATCGTTCGAAAATTGGTCCAAAAGCGTTCAACGGTTGAATTTACCGTTCGTTGAAACGTTTGCCGGAATTTCGTTCAATCGCATTGGATTTGGTTCAACATTCGATTAAACATTTGCAATGTTACAACTTTAGAGAAGAAGCGCAGAATGTGTTACACAGAAATACTCCCAGAAATGTATTCAGTTCCTTAGTAGAAGGCTTGTAAAGGAAATAGTAGGGTTATATCATTTTAGCCTAATCGAATGCTTTTTTGCGCTTCATGTTCTGGTTTATGCTTTGCGTGCTCTTATTTCATTAGCGACAAATTTCACGTTATAAGCTTTCTTTTAAAAATTTATCGTTTTTGTGCTTCGGTAATGCACTGAATGGTTAGAATTTGTGTTTTAATATACTTCTGTAGCTTCCATAAAGCCAAAGTTCACCGCGCGCACAAACAACGTCGCAAGCCATATATTACAGCATTACGAGCCATAATATGCCTTGGCAAGGTGCTAATTAAGTTGCATAATTGTCGGAAGTCTGTAATGTATGTAAACAGACAAAACCAGATTTTAAAATCAGTAAATTGAGGGATTTTGCGTGTTACATATTATCGCACTTGTAAATTTATTTACAAAGTGCGATAAATTTAAGCTAATTTATTTACATCTGATAATCTGATAGCAGGGCCTCCGTCCGAAGCAGCTACTGATTAAAATGTATTCAAAATAAAGGACCGCATCCTAGGACGAGAATGCGGTTCAGCATTTCAGCTCGTTGTCTTTAATGCAGTCTGACATGCAAATTATATACAACAATTGAAATACCCTAGCTAATATTTGAAGACATAAATACAGTGACCTAACGCGCGTTCGGTAGGGTTAGGACGAGAACTAAAATAAGGTTCCCCAGTTATTGGGGGCCAGAATAGATAACGAAACATCATAGTATATGAGCAAAACGTGATCAATGACAAACAGCGAATTAAGGGACCCGGCAGTACCAAGTATCTCAAGACCCCATCCTCTGTTCGTTATGCCACTGCATGAATATCCAAGCAATTTAAATATGACGCGTGCATCTAGTCTAAAACTGGAGCAGTGCCCCGCTTGCAAAATTGTCTTATTTCCTTAAAAGGGTATATTTGTCTCACCAGATCTAAGCCATCTGGCTCGATTGTTGCTGGCATGTTGAAAGGTATCAATTGGCATAAATATAACTTATGGCATAAATATAACTCATGCATTGTAAATGTTTATTTAGACTCTTAATTCACAAAAAAATTACTTCATATATGTTGATATATATATACACATTTCAGCACAATTCACTCCCCATGCATGTAGCTATATTTTGGTTGTGATTTGATTTCTCTCGACTAGCTCCTCGAATCGGAAACGTGGAACGCGGAAAAGTCTCAAATCGTACAAATCATAGAGACTGTATGAAAGTAATGAAGCTATATCAATGATGTTCATTGTGTGACATTGTTTATTACAATAAAAAAACAAGAGTGTCGTACAATGAACATCATAATATTGCTCAGGGAAATTTAGCCTATAGGCTTTGATAATGCACAAAATATCATCTGGTCAACATAATTAGAGCTGTGGCCCGTGTGAAAAATATAACAAAACAGAAATTATGATCTATATTATACCATTTAAGTTTTGTTGATATTTAACTAGCATAAACCATCAAAGACGCCGTCTACAAATTCCGTGTTTTGTGAGATTGAGTTTAGCGCTATGTTTTAACCAAGTGCGTGCAGCCTTGCGCACAACTGGCCCAAGCCCAAGGGCAAGTTGCCAAGCTAACGTGTACAAACATTTAAGTTTGACCTTTCGGATATTTCGCTTATATATATTTCGCCATACTTCATCAGAAAACGAACATTAGAATTTATCTTGCTTGGACAACATATCAGCTGCTTGGGCAACAGGAAAATATTCACTAATTTTGATTTGGGCTCCTTTATTAGGAAATTACATTCCGGATATTAAATTGCAATTATGCATGGTCATTGCACCTTGAAGCCTGCCAGCTAGAGCGGCAAAATGAACAAATTTGAAATGGCGCCTATCAACTGTTTATGCGTATATGAGCGCGCGGGTAAAGATCTTTACCAGTAATTACGCGAAGACTAAACCAAATATTTGCTGGATATTAACATCTATATGGAGAAGTCAAGGCGTTTTACCCCTGCATATAAAGTATAAAGGTATGAGACTATACGAAACATTAGCTATTATATAAGGCAAGTCATGACTGGGCATACTTTATTAGGCGCGCTTGCAATTATTTCCCTCCCAGCATTGAAATCAGGCTTATCGATGAAATCATCAACAGAATTCGTATTACGGTTGGCTCGATTTAAAGTTTTTTTTCCTTGAGTGTGTTTGCCTGGCTAAACTGTAGCTCTCTATTGATCCATGCATATATCGAAATATGACACGCATTCGAAGTAAGATTTCATATAGATGATCATGCAATTGTATAACAAGGCGTTCTCAATTGCATTTTATGTATATATGCTAACGCGAGTAAAATGGAGCCGGATATAAATGCGCACTGCAATATAATCCTTTAGATTACTTGCCATGGCCGGTGGAATCGAGTTGGGCCACGATCATCCAATCATTCCGAATAAACATGACATGAAAGGTTGCCAGACCTTTAAAATGGCTTGGCTGAGGTTAGAGTAGTTGTTAGCTTGTGGTTACAATTTAATAGGATGCATTTACTCACATTGAAACAACAATTGTTTGTAAACTTTTCTGACATTTGTCAAAAAATATGTGGGTAGATGCTACCTTGAAATATATATATAATTATATGATATAAAAAGTTTTCGCAAGACAAAATGGATTGATGCTTTGATGCATGCCTTAATCATCTGTCTGGGGAAATCTTGATTAGTTAATTTTATTGTAAGCAGGAGGCACAAATTGTGTCACAAGTAGATGTCTCGAAGATGTTAAGGATCGGGTGTTTCTTAAAATGGTGAGTATAAACTCCCCTGTGCATGCATTTGGCATTGTCGTTTCTATATGGGCGGCAGCATTGCTATAAGCTTTGCAGAAAAAAATATTTGCACTCTTTGTGATTTAAAAACTCGGTTTCTATATGGGCCGTGTGCTATTGCTATATGCTTTAGTAAAAATAATGTGCACTTTTGTCTTGCTGCCGGGGTTGAGTATTAAGTTGCTTTGCAGGACGGATTTTCGGACCTTTAGGATTGCGGATTGCCGCGGTCGTTTGAAATGAAGATTTCGAAAATTATCCCACTAATTTATGCGTTCTATGTCTTTAGGTCACTATTGTTAGGCTCATGCAGTTAGCTTAGGCATTTTTACACAGTTAACTATGTAGATGGTCGAATATATGGGGGGAATGAATATAGTGACCACCAATAATTTAGTTAGATCACAAGTATTAATTAGCGACTTGTTATACTGGTTAAAAATCATAACACATGCATATGTGATCGTATGGTCACAAAATATGTAACTAATATGAAAAAAATATGGCGGCAGAAATAGCGACATTGCAGCTTTAGCTTTGCGAAGAAAATATAGCGATGGTGCATGCAATCGACAAAATAGATTATTGTCAATATTTAAAATATTCTTAAGGTAATGATGCCCTTACACGGGACGAAAATTTAGATTTGCACAAAATTTGCACCAGATGCAAATTTGGTGCAAATTTCGTATTTTGAATTTGCAACCATTGCGTATTCATCTTTGCAACCGAATAAATTTGCAACACGTTTGCCACAAATTTGCCAGCGTGGCAAATTTATCCCAAAATTTGCAAGACATTTGCGTATAGGTGCCAATTTTGAGCAAATTCATCAGGCTCTCTAGTAAATTCGTAAGTTCGTTAAAATCGGTTTTTATGCTTTAGCGTACAAAAATAAGTATGGAAAACCTCAAAGAAATTGTAAACAGGGCTTAAAATAAAAATTTCATGTGTTACTAGCATATATATTTCCAACAAATTGGCAACAAATTGGCACACAAATTTGCATATAAATATTACTGTAGCAAATATAATACCAAATCCGTGTCAAATTTGCTGTATAGAGCAAATCTATTGCAATTTTGTTGAATTAAATTTTCGAACGATTCCTAAATTAAATTTCAATTTTCAAATCACAATTACTATTATAAACTATATCTATACTTATTATAACCATCTAAACGAAGACCTTATATTAATTTGGTTGAAACCTATACGCGGCTTCATTTTTAGCGTTTTTCTAGTGCGTTAAAACCTTTTTTATAGTTGTCGATTAATTTAAATTAGATTGTAAACCTCTGGGTATCGGTGGCGTGAGTATTAGAGCGCAAGTGTGCGGGGGCGGATTAGCGTTATGAGTGTCACCGGGCGATAGGGATAAAAGGAACCCCCTGATGACATCATTGAAGGAAGACAATCTACTTTACTTGATAAGTTTGAGCATATTAAATACTGGTATTATCGATACATATCGATACAGTCGCGATATAAATTTATATAGCGATATAGATTTATATAAAGAGCGCGAAATATTGATAAAAGATCAGAGTTTGCGAAATATCACATTAGAAACCGAAAAATTTACTTTTCGTTATAAAAAAGCTTAACTGCTCGGAATGAATCAGAATACCACTTTAAAGTCATTAGGTATGTCATAAAGAAACAGATTTTTGACGTTTTAAAGTAACATTATTTTTCGAGCCGAAGCGAGGCGGCAGACTATATATGCTTAGCTTGACATTACACGAAGTTCCTGTTATTTATTATTTTTTTATTATTATCAAAATATTTTATGAGGGTGCCACAATCACCCATAGGTGCTTTTCATGTAGGCCCTCAATTTAAAATACAATCAATAACTTAGCTAAAAATAAATTCTACATAAAAACAAGGAACGAACATTAAAAAGGTAACTACCTGTCCGTGTCCGAGTTATATAAATTAAAGTTGAAAAAACTCAATCTATCGAATTATTTAATTTTTCGATATGTGTCACAAACCGGGGGTGAGCCGCGGGGATCGGCTTCGCCTCGTGAAATATCAGCGGTAAAAATGCGGGACGCAAGGTGCGGCGAACGAAAAGTTTACAACCGGCTAGCTAAGGACATGGACGAATTCCGCTTTTATCCGGTATCAACGTATGAGATTGTGAACTCGTTTTCACCAAATAAAGCACCTAGCATAGACAAGGTATCGTTTAGAGTGATTAAAGATGCTTTACCTGTTATATTACCAACATTAAAAGAGATATAGATCGCTAATTGTTCTTGTTAAAGTCACACCACTTTTAAAAGAAGGAGACTTTGAAATATATACTAAATGATAACCGGCCTCTGTCACGCTCCCAGCAGCTTCGCTAAATGCTCCATGTGGTCGCGCAAAATCAATTTCCTGAGTATTTAACTAGGGAAAAAACGCCTTATATTACCGTTCATCAAAGCAGTAAGACAAGGAGTCATTCGACAGAAATCTATTTTTGACAGATGCGATCTTGGATGCTATATGGATGGAAAGGAATGGACTACAGTCGCTTGATAAGATTTATCAAAAGCGTTTGAAAGCGTTAATCATCTGAACTTCTTAACAAACTTCGCTCAATGGGTGCTTCTACCGCACAATAGCTTGGTTTAAGAGTTATTTGTCTAAAAGGAAACAGTCGGTCAAATTGGTCAAAATTTGTCAGATATATACTTGCTCGGTTGAATATGGTGTGTCTCAGGCCTCCATGCTTAGTCCATTATTGTTATTTAACATCTGTATAAATCATTTACCGACTGTTCATGACAAGTGCACGTGCCCTTTGGAATCTTCTGCGGACTATTCAAAAGTCTACTTGTCGTTCTTTATTATAAATAAGTCTACCACAGGCTCAACTTAGGAATGATTTGCAGAAAATTGCAGTGTGGTGCATGCAACGTGGTGCATGTTTTTCCAATAGTCTGCTTATTAATCCAGAAAAAAAAAGCTTTGGATTACCACAAATGTTGAAGGGAATACAAGATTTCAGTGTGTCCTTTCTTGATAAACAACTACAACCACTGTCCGCTGCAAACGATTTGGGATGGAATTGGATGGGTGTTTAGTATCGAAATGTATGAAATCTCTGTGTCAAATTAACCGAATTAAACATATCCTAGATGACCATACCCTTGTGACAATAATAAACTAACGCTTTAGTATCCAGCAGATTACGTACATTACTCTTCTTCTGTTTAGGCGAATACACGAAACAAGAATGTCGCCAAACTGCAACGTGTACACAACTTTCCTGCAAGAATAGTGACTGCGAAAGGCAAATATGACCATTTAACACCAGTGTTACGTCAAGTAAATTGGCTTCCCGTCAGTTACGTTTCAAAGATGCAGTGATGACTTTCACGTGCTTAAAAGGACTGGCTCCTTCATACCTATTAAGCAGATTTTCATATCGATCAGAGGCACATAATCGTGGCACAATTAAGGGGAAAATATTTTAATATCTAATGTTATTTCCTCATGACTTGTTCTAAATTAATAAAACTATTCTTTATGCAAACTAAGTTTAGAAATTCTCGGGATTTTGGCAAGTTTTACTGTGCAATTTTGTTAGATTTATATATTTTATTAGGTTTTTGGACTATATGATCTCGGAAAGTAAACAGTTAACAGTTATATTATTACGGGTCTAGATCCTGGAAACAGGTTGCGGTTGTAAGTGACAGCGTCCGCTATGATCTCGCACCTTTGTTTCTGACTATTGGAAGTAAACCTAGAGCTCCTTACATCCTGTTTACCCATGCTTTTTAAAGACCCGAGTTATTTCCTTTGAAAGAATAAGCTATTCAAAAAAACTTCGCATCGACGATATCCTTCAAACGCAATCAGTTTAAAAATACCAAAATCGTTCCTTAGCACTATAATTATGTAATAAAGTACATGCTGCTTTCAAACGAGGATTTTTATCATTTTTAACTAAAATCTTCGAGCAGAACCAGTGCAGTCGTTCAAAAACGTCAGTAAAAGCCGAAACCTATACATAGGGTTACGCAGGCCTGGTTTTCGGCGCCTAGCAGTAAACAGAGCAGCCTCTCTATACCCTACTACAAAGCTTTTTGGTTTAAAAACAAAACAGCTGAAAAATAAAGTTTACTCAACTACGTTAAAATTACTCCACCCATTGGACTTTCCTTACCCGTTTCTTCATCTGAAGTTTGACCACGACCCTTAATTAATCGAGGCAGTATCAAGGCTGATGATTTGTATGATTTCTAAAGGGCGTCAGAATCAAAGATCAGGAAAAGTAATACAACGTTAATCACGTTTAAATAGTTTAAAATGCATTAAATAAAACGCTATATGAACAAATGTACCTAAACATACAAGGCCTTTGATTATATTTTTAAATAAAACGTTGAATAACTTTGGATTCAACGTCTTAAACCTAATGTTGACAAAACACCCTGGATCCAGTTTACGGGTAGCGTTTCGAGACTTCTCTAGAAAAGCATCAACTAGAATTTTATTCACTTTCAAAAAGTGAGAGCCTTTCGAAAAGGGGAAAATCTCTAAATGAATCCGTTTAAAAACTGAAAAATTAATCGAATGGGAACATATTGTTATTATCATTACTGATTTCTTTAAACATCAAAATACGAGAATAGCAGGACTAAGTTGGCAGGCTGGCCTAACCACTGAAAAACGTTCAACCAATATGTACCATAAACCGGAACCAGGATATATTAAACTTTAAAACTTAGAATATAATTAAGTAACAAAAGTCCTAGCCCCTAACCAAAAACCCGGTTTTCGGTGGCTGACAAAACAACTGCTTAGAAGCAACGCGGGCAATACGGTCTCTTGCTAGTATAAGGTGGTATTGTATACCAAGAAAGCAAATTCGGATAGCATATATAGTATAAACAGAGTGCTTAAATTACCTAATTGATAATATCTTTGTTCCAGTGAGAACTAAATTTAAGTCTACATTTAGTAAATCAATTTTTTTATCGTGCGTTTGGAGAAATATTGCGTGAATATAATTTTGCAGATCAGGGACCAGGGGTCGGTTGTATAAAAATGTAGTAAACTCTTAATCATAGTTAGTAACAGAATTGACCAATCAGAGTCATGTATTTCTGAGTTAACTACGATTTAACTATGCAAAATGTAGTTAAGAGCTTTATACAACCGGCTCCAGATGTATAAAACTCTTTAAGTACATTTTGCATAGTTAAATGAGCAATACACGACTCTGATTGGCCAATTCTGTCGTTAACTACAGTACATGCAGTTATACAACCGGCCCCAGAGGATTGCAAAATTAAATTTTTCACGCAGTATTTCCACAAACGTACGATAAAATACTGTTTTCAACATGCAAGCTTTCAAGGAACCTATAAATTAATATTGTTCAGTATCCATTAGGGCTTACACGAATTAATAACGCGATAATACAAATAGCGGTTATAATCTAGGGCATATGGTTATATAGCGTGCATGCATGGATGCATTCATGTATTAAACCACTTAACGCCGTTAATTATGTGTTACTTTAACCCTGATCTGCCCCCATTTCTGGGTATTAAATACGTCACAGTTCTGTCAGCACGGTATTACGAACTTTAAAGCACTACGAAGAACCATGATCAAGGGCATTGATTTGAATGTGCTATAGTCAGACTTAAACTAGTTAGCCTCCAAATTCCATCTGAATCACAGAAGAATTCGCCTTTCCAATGGCATAACAAACAAGACGGTTTCGTCATCAACTTTATCATAACCGGGTATTAAATTTCGCGCTATGCGTTGAACGGGTATAAAGGACGCCGGACCAAAACTCTCGAACAAGTTTGAGCACCAAATCTCGGGCGTAACTCCATCATTACCATAATGAAATCGTTCAGGGTGCCGTTGAAACCAGCGAACGTGCGCAAAACAAAACGAATGTACCTTATCCCGATACGAAATCGACTGGCGTACGAAACAATCGATAATGCCCGGTCTTTCCTCTACACCTTCCATATCCACACCTCCATGGAATCGTCCTGCCCACCTTGCTAAAATGTAAGCAAAACGACTTAGACGGGAAAACTCTGACCCGTATCGTTCCCCTGAAAATTCGATCGACGCGTATTTGTCGTAGAGGTAAGGAATGTTGTCGACTGGTATGTCAGGAAGAAATATTTTGTAAACAGCACTCAGGTACTCGTGCTCATCACAATCTAACTGTTCAATAACGTGAGGTAAACCAATGGAGTAACCATCCAGAGTAAACCATAACTCATCACGAATGTCAAGCCTACCATCACACAAATGAAGAATATCAATTGCAAGCTTGCTATCAACTACTTCGCTACAAGATTGATGGCCTTCGCGCTGTTGTAGTTTATCAGTCAAATCGCTAAAATGCTGCACACATTCTTTTGGGAATTCAAGTTCTCTCAAGTTCTGATCTCTCAAAAACTTTCTCATAATTTGCAATTCAATTGACTTATTATTGTTCGAATAGTTACCCAGTATGCCATTGTACCGTTCAAAGCTGAACAACCAAAAACTATACACTGGTCCATAGTCAAGAATACAATCGGCCAAATGTGTATGCATATGCATATTCGGTGTAATGCGTTGTGTTCCATATAACTTTTCGACATCACGACAGAACTTTACAAGCAGAGAATGCGCAAGACCCACGTCATGTATTTTAATCATTGGCCGTGACAGAATTTTACAAGCTTTAACAAAATTCAACCAGCATTTGTAATGTTTATACCAGGTAGATGACCTAACAATGCAAACGGAGAGAAGACAGTTACCCAGGTTTTCCACTGTTCTGCCGTAAATCCAGAAAACGACTTGGCTATTTTGAACGGAAGTCGACCCATGTTTGAAGGTGTATTACATATGTCTACTTTCTGTTGAATAAGTTCCAAATCTGCACGTGTCAAAAGAGAAAGTTCCAACCACAATTCCATCATGCGTTTCGCAGTTCCCAGAAATAAATTATGCATCGGATCAACAATAGTAAACCTAATGCAGTCGAAGTATGGTAGTCGGAGAAGTTCGGAATATCTAGCGCCATATAGAGACTCCTTCGCATTACGCAATTCCTGCGTCAACTGCGCTAAAATCTCCTCAACATGCCTCCTATGGTCAACAATATTTCTCCCACTACTCGAATTGAATCCGGAATAATCAGTTGCATCACCGAATCCACCAGTAACGAACTCTTTGGTGCACTTATTGCAACCACGTTTAGAGTTGTGAGCAGTGAACCCGCAAACCTTCTTACTGGCTGGCATATCACAGGCTACGCACAACAAAGCAGCTCGAAAGCGTTCTGGTAAAATAAGTGAGCCAGAATGTCGTAGGGTCACGCCTTCCTCCCAAAGAACAACAAGCTCATCAACGAGTGGTTTAAGGTATGAGTTAATGTTATTCTTGGGCTCACTAGGTCCGGGAATGATTCCGACGAGAAAAATATTTTGTCGTTTAAAGCGCTCACTGCGCGGAAGGTTCATCACAACAAGGTACAAAACTCCGACAGAATATGGTGTGTGATCATATGGTTGCATCCAATCAACATTGAGCATAAAGCTATAATTACGAGGAGATGCCAGAAAGGATGATCCATTGAACATCTGAAAATCTCTCCAGACTCGTCCTTCAAATACGTCACACATAACTTGATGAGCAGTTCGAATATCACGATTTCTCCACAACTCACATCGCTGGGTAAAACCAGCTCGCCTAACAAACTGTTGCAATGTTGCAATAACACTCTGGTAACAATATATTTTATGAGGATATAATCGCTTACCACCATCTTTAAGAGTTACCTCTTTCAACAGAGTTGAGCTGCATGGTTGACGCATGGCAATTGTCTATAATTTGGAAAACGAACAAAGGAACAGGTTTTGGACACCTTGCGAGTACCAACTGTTCGGTAGCAATCTTCGAATTCATACAAGGAAGAACATTTTGGACAAATAACGTACTTAGTAAACTTGTCACCTACCAGGCCTACTTCTTTTCTAAAAAGGTACAGCGATCCAGGAAAAGCCAAGGAGAATGTGGCAAGCCAATTGTTGGAAAGAGATGCTGCTTGAAAGAATCGTTTCAACGACAAAAGCAAAAACTCCATTGCGTTGTCCGGTATGGGAAAGTAGGTCCAAAAAAACGCAAGTAAAATAACTAGACAATTGAGCAACGTGCGGTTGGAAGGAGAATCTGACGTATTGACACTAACGGATGGAATTTTAGTGTCTTCGTCGATTTCATTATCTGAAATATCATCCCAGATCTCACGCTCAAGCAGTTCTTCGCGGAACAATTCATCAGCCAAGTCAGGTTCAGTATAATTGCTATCGCAATGATTTGATGGAAGAGGGAAACATGGACTGACCTGGTCGATCTCAATAAAGTTGTCTTCATCATCACTACTGCCTTCTAAAATTGGATCTCTTTGCCACGAGTTTGAATTTTGGTCAAAATAAACTTCCCTATTTCGCCTGAAAGTTCTTGCAGGTAAATAGGTCTCGCAATGTGGACACAAGGTCATATAGTTGTTGTATTCAGCCATGATTGTTTTTAGATTTTTATAAGCGATGTTGATATAAAAACAAGAGTTTAAAAGAAACACAAAGGGCTAAACGGGGGTAGTAGATGCTATTCAGGGACACTATAAGTGTCCAGGTGACCTAAACCAACCAATTAGAAGCCTCATATTTATTTCGCGCTAAATCTAGAATTCGAGAGGGAAACTCGAAGGAAAAATTTTCAAGTTGTTTTGACAAGCCAGTTTTTATACACTTAACATTTAATTTTTTAACGAAAGCTACCAGTTTTTTAAAAAATGGCAATCAATGGTCAGAATGAGGAACTCATGCGACGTATTTTGGCAAGTCAAGGGACAATCATTGAACAAAATCAAAAAATATTACATCAACAAGAGCAGAATATAGCTAAAGAGCGCGGGGCACAGCTTGCTACCCGAGAGAAAATCCCCCTTATTTTAAAGGTAAATGCTTACTCATTCGAATTAAAGTAATTTAATCAATCATTTCTATATGGGGAAGAAAAACTGTGTATGTATTACGATCCACTAAGCCTTTTTCAACAGAATACAGTTTTTGCAAATGCTTAAATGTATACAACAATGGTGTCCCAAAGCAAACAATGCAATGTAGTACAGTATGATAACTTGAATTTGTAAGAAGAGGAGGGATTGGAAGGAAGGACTACAGTATCAACATATAATAATAATGGTGCATATAACCAAATCATTAATCAATGCAACAATGAAATCAAACATGAGCATGTCATGCAGGATATGGTTTGCTGCTGACCTTGAGTATTGGGTATAGTGATATAAAGCAAATTTCCCTTTTCAGATTTTCATTTTATTCTGTTTATAGTTTGTCTAGTCCATTTCCTATGATTTTCCCTTTAAAAGGGTGAAAATTAATTGCCCAGGGTCAGGGATGACAGTAGAAATTGTCAACAGCATGATAATTTAAATTTGAATATTCTGGTGATTAAACAGGGGTAGAACTCCATACATGCCACTGGAATATTGCATGCTTGTAAATTTAATGATGATGAAAACTTACAGTAATTTCAGTGATTAATTAATACTTGTCACTTGGATTCCAATCCAAACTCCCTATAAAATAATGAAAGATTTTAGACAATATTAATATTATGTATGGTCAGATATATATAAATAATACAAGACAGTTTTAGTAAAGAAGTGTGGTAGCTAATATTTTATTATATTAACTTTGGTGGGCATTGCGGTGTACTTTGCGGGCTAAAATGATAAATTTGCCAGGCTAAAATCTATTTTAGCCCACCTTGATCTTAGCCAATCAGAAGAACGACTGTAGTGTTTATCCATTGTAGTGTTTCTATACAAAAATCGCCCTTTAAAAAGTTAATATAATAGTGATACAGTTGATGTTCTTGGGCATAAATGTGTTTTTGGCCCTCCTCAGAATACTGTTTAACCCTCGCTACGCTCGGGCTAAAATAAGTTCAGAGTCGGGCCAAAAACACATTTATGCCAGCAAACATCAACTCTATTGTTATATTGCATGCTATTATAATCTTCATGATGATGAATACTTACATCAATTTCATTGATTTATAATCATTTTCATTTGGATTTCAAGTAAAACTTCCTAAAAATAAAACAATTTCAGACAATATTGACATAATTATTATGCACATCAATATTTATATAGATTAAAGAAGAGAGCTTTAGTAACTACCCAATAACCTATATGCAATTACATTTAATTTCTCAGCGTACTTTCCGTTCAGCAGTAAAAGGCTTAGAACAGGGATGGGACTTAACTCAGAGGTGGGTATATATATTCCACATTTTGTGATGTAATAGGTTTTGTACATCATATAGCAAATGGTACATAAAAGAATTTAAAAAAGAATTAATAATTGCCTAGATACATGCAACATTTTAGTATTTAAATTTATAATGTAGTTTTAGAGCAACAGCTAATGAAGACACCAACAAACTCCTGGTGACAAATATCAAGGCATTGACTGGCATGGATAAGATGTCAGATCAGATAATTGAAAGTAAGTTGCAGTAAAGGAAAAGCATAGATTACAACAACAATAGGCTGTGTTTTTCACCAATAAGTGATTATTGTAAGCACCATATATTTTTTGCAATTCAGACTCATCCTCTGTCAAAGAGGCCAGTGTTAAGAGACATTTACATGGCATCCTCTAACGTATTAAGTTACTCAGGGAACTTTTTAAAATCCATAAAAAAGATCTGCTAGATGTAGAACAGCAATTGCAATAGTTTGCAGCTAGGCATTAATTAGCACTAAAGTCTACCAAGCCCTTAGATGGTTCAATAGCATACAAACTACAGGGTTGAATCAGGGGTTTTTTTGTTCAAAACATTCAAAATATATATAATGGCAAATTTTACCTGTCATAGAAATGATTTTTAATGTTCAGAGCCTGGATCATTGTATAGTACCAGAAATAGAATAACAAAATTATGAGGTGTTACTAAGCCAATTAATGGTTAGGTATAGCACTTTTTATCGCCATTCTCTGGTAGGCAGTTAGAAGTGATTGAATTATGTCTAAGTAATTCTGCATGGTACCCTCTATTGCCTTGTTCAATAACCTGTATACTCATCTGGCATACTGCTTACTATAAATTGTTTATATATGCATGCCTAAATAGGAACCGGTGTGCATATTGAGCATTATAGCTAGTAAAGATGGGGTATATTGCAGTTTATACAAGCAGTTTATTTGAAAAGTAACTTTCACTTTCAGCCCTGGATGACAAAATGCAAACAGGTATTGACAGGGTAAACAACGTGTGTACAGTAGGTCTCAGCATCCATGCATGAAAATATATTTGAGGTGATTCGAATGTTTGTAGAGTTTTCTATCCCGTCAGGAGAGACAGTTCAATTACGTTTGTTTCTGGGTTTTAGCTGTAAAAATTTAATGAAAATATCCCCGGAATGTATATTGCGACTTAGGCAAACACAAAATCATGCGGTTTGAATCCATTTTAATACATACTTACTTTGACATTAATATTCATACACAAAAGGAGTACGTTAAGCCATTAATTCATAGGATAAAATATAGAATACAAGAGTCAATTTTCAAGCCATTAAATATTTTTTCAACACGAAAACATGGCAACGAAGATGACGAATCAGTCTGGCGCACGTGTTAAGCTTAACCGGGGGTGTAGTCACAAATTATTTTGATTGATACAACACGTGATAGGACTATCAATCTATCATTATAATTTTCACATCAAAACTTAGAGATAGCTAACGATTTTAAGGGCTTGTTCCTTGAAAAATAAAAATTGAATCCGATCAAACCTAGCCTCCGTTTCAATTTGTTCTTGCTTCAAGCATAGACCCAAACTGCTACCGCCGGTACACGGGTTGTTCGGAAGTAGGAATTTTTGAAAACTTCCCATAGCTTACGTTTGATTTTGACCCACGGCATAAAACAAGCTGCGGCGGAGTATCGTTAAGTGGAGATGCTGATATTCATACATTCATGTTAGCAGACCGTAAAAATAATCAATTTCGAAAGGAACTAAGGGCCTGTTCATATGAGGTGGGATAGCCCGGTTAGCCAGGAGAGCTCGGCTTGCTGAGATGAGTTTGAAGGTCGTTTCATATGCAATTCATACCGCCTATTATCCCACTTATTATCCTACCTTTGCAGGCAAGCGTGTGTGATCGTGTTTTAATACCGGCTTACCGGGAAAAATCGAGAATTTGCGTTCATATGGAAGCAAGCCCTCGGGATATATTTTCCCTTCGGGGTAATATTTCATCGAATTCCCCTCGCTCCAGGGGCCGGTTGTTCTAAAGATGGATAACTTATCCAACGGATAAGTCCTATCCAACGGATAAATCTGCTATCCAGTGGATAGTTATCCATTGGATAAAAACGCGTTGCACGAAGCGTGGATAGTGAAGTGGATAGCTATCCAATAGATAAGTTAAAATTTACCCGAAGAAAACAGGATTATACTGAAATTTCGTACCACAACGTCAGCTGTTGCTAAGCATTTACAACATTGAATTCATAATCATTACGAATTCTCGAGTATAGTTACTGAATGGAAAAGACTTGAACAATAGTAAATTTACTGCCTGTTATAAATGCGAGGATGTCCAAAAAATCGCCGCTCGGAAAGGAATGTCTAGGCAACGTAAAACGCTGCTGCGAAAAATTGCACTTCGCGAAACCATTTTTAATAGTGAATATATATGCAATCATGATGTGCATTAGTTTGTTGAAACACAGTAACAGGAATATTGCATTTTTGTCCTATTTTATATAAATGTTTACAATGTTACCTTTATCTTTAATTTATCCACTGGATAGTGGATTTAAACCACTTCCGGACCTTGGATAAATTTATCCGGTAGATAGCGATTTTTATCCGCTGGATAAAGTCATGCAAGCTTCGTGCAACGCAAATCACACGCTGGATAAAACTTATCCGTTGGATAGCGAGTTATCCGTTGGATAGCGACTTATCCACCTTTCGAACAACCGGCCCCTGGGGCCGGTTGTATGAAAGCCGGATAGCGCTATCCACCGGATAGTGGTTTTTTCAATTGCTTCAAAATCGCCCGTTATTTGCTACAACTTTGATTAAATCTTAGTATTCCTAAATTGAAGATCCTCTTTAATAATTGTTGCTTTCAAGCTGAAATTTTATCCCCTTTCGAGCATTTTTAGAACGGTTGAAAAAATCACTATTCGGTGGATAGCGCTATCCGGCTTTGATACAACCGGCCCCTGGTCTATAAATGATAAATATATGATTAGGTGATTGATTATATATATGCCGGAATAGTTGAGTTTATATTCCTCTGACTCTGGTGCCATAAACGAAAAACGTACCTCACCAATCTTCTCTTAGATGAGACAATTGCATGAATCCCACTTATCCCGAGAACGTTGCCCTTTTTCGGACGAACTTTCAAGATTGAATCAGTCTGATACCATTTTCTAGGAGCAATGAAGGCACATTTCTTGACAATGCGGAGGAGACGCAAGGAGGTCGATTCAGGGCAGAGAAGTAATATTTTGCAAAATGAACGACGTCGCCATCGCAAGGCAGATGTAAGAAATCAATGTAAAAACGTAGCTACCTCGTTTGCCTTTCCAACTTTCGCAGAGCATATGCCGTTGTTCAAAACCATGAGACGGATTTCACGTTTTGCTCTCACGAGCCAAATACAAAGATTAAATCATCAAACATAAAGATTAAATGGACCTTTTGCATTATAGGCAACTTTTTTATACATGCAAGATAACCCATTAAAATCACCACAGCTAAAAAGAGCGTACTGAAATTAGTAGAAATGCAACGTTTGGTTGCGAAATGTCATGAGATGCCAAAAATGTGGCTTTGCAAAATTTGCAAATTTGTATACTTTAGTTTAATGCACGGAAATTACGAACCTGATTTACAAAACGTTTCCAACCTCTCGTTCGACACATATAACTTCATCTCAAATTCTCGCAATTTTTTGGGACATTCAAACATTGTTAATTTTTGGGACATCAATCCCTCTCTTTGCCATTTTTGGGCCTCAAAAAGAATAATACGCATTTCTTATTCAACTTAAATACAACTATAAGAATAACAAGAAATCTATGGGAGACATAATTATCATAAAATAATCTAGTTCAGATCAACATAGCTAATGATTACACAGCTAATGCACTGTTTTCTCGTATATTTATAGAAACTTCGACGCCGGCTGGATGCACTATATAAAACTACCTCTTGGCCTGAGGCTGAAAAGGCAGAATTTAGAAAGGGGATGAAAATATCATGTATGTCTCCCGAGCACAGCGAGGAAGAGGTAATTGAAAGAGATGACGAGTCCGAATCCGACGATGACGCTTTGGGTACGAAGAAAATATTAAAAACCCGCCCATTGTCATGGCGTAGCGAGAGATTCCAAAGCGTGTTGGAAAGCTTGGACCGGAAATATACCAGGCGAATTTCGGAGAAGGCTCGCTCCATGTTCAAAGAAAGAATTATGGGCGAAAGAATGGTTTGTTTGCCACCAAGTGACATCCCTGATTGGATGATTAAAAATTAGATAAATATGGCATCCATTGATGATGGAAGAAAGTTAAATTTAAAAACAGGTTATTAAACTACACTTAATTACCGTTAAAATGTTTCCATTTTTGTGAACAACTAGTCTGTTGCATGATTAAACTATATGTATAAGAGTTCAGCGCTACCTATTTTTTGGATGTATGGAAAAACCAAATTTAATTACGTAAATTTTGTACACTTTACGTAAGAAAATGTGCAACTCATTAAGTCACATATGCTGACGACGTATGGTCCAGTATTTCTATGCTGTAGAGCCATACTGAGCAGTATGGAAAACAAATATAGCCATCAATCTTAAATTTGCATAGCTATTTTCCGTACTAGTACTGTTGAGGATTTCTCAACCCGGCAAACTTGCACCTTAGTCTACATACAGTTATTAGCTAGAATATACATGGTTTGGATACTATAGATGGAAGTACAATAAAACTCATTATTTATGTTATTGCCCTGCAGGTTTATGCTGAAAATTGTTCTTTATCCGTCACATGCATGTCTTCTGTATTTTTGCC